ATTTTTCTAAGATTTCTTTAGTGTCTTGAAAATCCCTATCCTAAGTACGTGTATTTAGTCATATCCATGGTGGATATATATATTTTGACAGAACCTTTGCAAAAGGAAACTTCAGAGACCCCACAAAATATATCTATCTGTTGCAAACATTCTCCTGACCGCAAAAATGAAACTAGTGACTTGCAATATTGAAGAAACATTGGAAGTTTTTGCACGCAGGTTGGTATTGAAAATGTAGCCAATTGTTTTAAAGTCGCGCCTACGGTGCCGCCACGAAATGAATAAAAAGTTGTTTTTTATTCAACTTGTTCAGCTACAGCAAATATTTGTACAAAAATTTAAAAGTATGTTCTGTAGGTGATGTTCTAACGTTGCAATTTGTACGGCGATATATAGTCTAACCCGTGACTTCTTTATTCGAAAAGACTATTACTACCTTTAAACTAAACTATATCAGTTATCCTATCAAAGCATGCACAACATTGCCTTTGGGGTGTTGAATCCCCCCCCCAAAAAAAAAGAAGAGAATTGCGGGAAATATCACTTTTCTTGATTAACTCAAAGGACTGCGCACGTAAATACCTACGAGTGGTCAACCGTGGATGCATTATGATATGCGAATCGCTAATATCGACTACAAAACTGAATATCCTTGATAGATGCATGTGATGTATTCGAAGTTTGTTTCAAACGGAACGCTACTAACAATAACTAATGCAGTCGCGCCACAAAAATGGGCGTAATATAACAACAGTCATGATATCATGAGTTTTTTTAGTATGAAGCAATTCGCTTCCATTTAGCAAACAAAATGTTTGCAGTGTTAGCGCGGAATGTCTTATCCTCTCTGCTATTACCATCAGATATTACTATCTCCAATTAGCACAGTTTTCAATACATGACTTGTAGTTTGTTTGAACAGTACTTCTCAGATATAGAATCCTTTTTAGGGTTGACTTTAAAAGACCCAATTTTTGTCGAGATGTAATTCGAAAATTGCTTGAAAGATGACGAAAAGTTGTAAGTAATGATGGGCAATACTTTGCATAAGATACATTATACCAATTTCTCTGAGCAGAGTTTTAAAGGCGCGGAAGAAAACCCTCAAAACCAATTCGTAAACGCAATATGTAAAGTATGTACATATACAGACATTTATATATATTCAGTCCAGGTGAGGATGTCTTCATATATATTTTATGTTATGTACGCATTACCTGCTAGTAAATACATGACTCCAGTTATAAGTATTGCACTTATTTGACGTTGACAAACACCGAAAGCTCCCACCAAAGCCGCGCTGCCCAATATTATTAAACATACTAAAGAACAAGAAATGGACAAATTTTGCATTCCTGTAAAAAAATACACAACATGTTATTTCAAATATTTCAGAGAAATAGAATAAAAAGCATTTTTCTTTGTTTTATATAATTTATCAAAGTATTATAAAATAATGTTCAAAACAATAAATATAATAATAATAGACAAAGAGTGAACATTAAGAAGAGTGAAAATTTTAAATAATTTTTTATTAATTTTAAAGTAATATGAATTTATACAAAACATTTAAAAAATTAGTTTTAAAATGTGTTTACTAAAAAATTTTAAATACACTTGAACATAACATTGTTCGTAAATACATGTAGCACTTTTGTTAAAAACAATTGCAACAACATTACAATTTGTATATAAATATACCTATCACGAGGAGTATGTATAGGAGGATGTGTTCATTATGTAAAAATAAACTATGTAAATTATCTGTCTGTCTGTTAAGACTTTGTACATATGTTCAGGCTTCAAAGACATAAAGAATGCGCGTAACTAGTTAATTAGTTAACTACGTCAACGTCTTTAGCGCATTCTTTCTCTTTCCTATAGCCACGATAGTGGCCAAATCGCACTTATTTTCAAACTCTGCCAGCAAGTAAAAGAGCAAAAGAAAATTTTCAAGTTTTTATAGTTTTTGTACTTTACCTATGAATTTTCGATCAAGAATGACAAATAAACAGGCAATCAGTCAAATAGATAGATGGTTGAAAAGCTACACTTTATATATATATTACCACACTCAATAAGTTAAGCCGGTGTAACCGTTTTTTTTTTTTTTTGTAATTTTATCATGCGAAGACAACTATAATGCTGCACAAAGTTCACTATTGATTTCTTGCCTCCTTTTAAAGTTGATAAACGTTATATACTAAGCTTATCCTAAAATAGGGCCACCATAACTTTCCCAGTCGATTTTCATAGATTTCAACGGCTTTCGCAATACTGTCCATTCAGCTTATATTCAGTTTGACTCCGGAGTGTAGTTATGAATCCGTATTACATCCATTGTCGCATATCGCCTGCAAAAATCCTTCCGCAATGCTTTGTTGTTGTTGTTCAAAAATAAACAAACGTGGCATCCACTTCGAACAAAATTTTTTCATGGCCAAATGTTCACGCGAAATAGAAAATGCAATGCTTTTTGATATCATCAACGCGTCAGCTACCTCACCAAACTTAATTTTTCGCTCTTCCACAACAATGTTATACGGTTTCTTCATCTTTATCTTCAGCATCTTCGAGAGTCGTCATAAGATGTTTCAAGTCAATGCTGGTTGCAAGCGGTACTTTTTCTTATCAAAAAGTAACGTTTAATTAACTAACGAAATTAAATTTTTGTTTCATTTAAAGTTGACTGCTATTCAGAAATTTTTATGAATCTGTCAAAAGTGTTGCTATTGGGACGGTGCATTATTATCAGGCATTTCTTTGCCGTCTTATATTTTAATAAAAGCTTCCCATATTTTATAAATTTGTGAATAAACATATCTTTATACTTTTAGGTTATAAAATTCGTGTCGATAATCATACTCGAATTCGCCATATCGGTAAAAAACTGGTAGGCGAACAAAATTTATGACGATTTGGATAACTTAGCCGCGGATTACAAAACATGAGTTACCTCCAAGCACCGTGAATTCTTTGCTCGTGGAATCGTGGAGATAGATGGTGATTACCCCCGGATTAATCATTTAAAAATGGTAATGTTGAATTTTTAGATTTTCTTTTTCATAATAAACAGTGTTCAAGGGCGCATGATAACACTGTTTAAAAATGCCTGATAATTATGCGTCAACCTATAACGTACATGTCAGACCGAAGGCTTATTGAGTGATGTGCTATGTACATAACCTCGAAGGTCACACATAGATATAACCGCTATTGATAAATCCACATAGTCCTTAGAGAATATCTACGTTTCAAAATTCCATGACATTGAGTTCGCAATTCACAGTTGTTTTAGTGACGCTACTGTTGTAGTTTGCAAAATAATAGAACAATTGAAATTTCGTGTGTAACACCATTAAAACTGGTACTACTTAACAACTGTCCCGATTAATCAATCGTCATCCTACAAAGTTACCGAGTGATGTGTTAATATATATATTGTCTGATCCGTCACGTGGATTTCTTGGTGTCAATGAGAAGATAAATTTCGAAAATATACAATGTTTTTGACTTTTTTGGATGATAGGTATAAAAAAAGAAAGGAAATGCGATATATTGCGTCCTTCCAAGAACTTATGGAAAACTTTTGTATATTTAATCTACTCCTACAATTCAAAATTATAGGAAATATGATTGAAAAATTCAACAAGAATTGTTATCTTTCATTTAAGAAAGTACTCATCGACATTCGTTTGAGATTTGCTAAAATACGGTTTAGAATACTGTAACTCTTGAAAAAAGGCGCATACAGGAAAGTCTAAATTAATCTATCAGCATAAACACAGGTTAACGTAGTAGTATAATTGCGTATTGAAATGCAGTTTCTTTACGCCATCTAGTAGTAGTCGAGCGAATTTTGGAATATTTCTCAGGTATTAACTTGATGACTGCTTCAGCTAAAATCCAATTTTCTTATAATTAATTTTTATGTGAAATTGCACTTAAAGGCTTTTTCTCCGTGAGAGTTTCTATATGGGATGGGATCCACAAAATAGATCTACATGTAGTAATTGTTCATTAAAATTAATTTGTTTTTCAACATAGTCTTGGGACCTGTTTGGTAAAAACTTTCAAGGTAATCGGTTATGTTATGGTAATGAGAGGTAATTTTTAGAATGGAAAATCAAAGTAAGTTTATAAGACATATTTTGGTTTTTTTTACATCAAAAAGGGATGAAAGAGCTGCAGAAGCACATAGATCCTAAGGCTATAGCAGGACGCTCTGGCCAAAATTAGGTTGGAAATTGCATTCTGGAAATTTTTCATTTTACCGCGTTTTCGTAGGCCAAATATCCTTGATAATGACTAACTAAAGGTTATAATTGAAGCTGATTGACACACTTGTCACATTCCAGGAAAACTCAATTCACCTCAAAGAATAAGTTTATTTCTTATATATTAAAAATAGGCACTGTCAAGTTTGTAAGCAATATACGATGTTATGTACAATATACAATTGGGCGTAACGATATTTGTTATTTAAAATAACTTAGTTATCGTATACGAAAATCTGATGAGTGCTTCAAGAGAGCCAACTGTAAATATCCACTTGTATATTACAACACAATTGCGGCAAAGGTGTAATTACGGAATAATTTCTAATGTTTTACAGTTGGTTTGTACTTGAATAGATGTAAAGACAGATGCATGTAAAAATTAACAAGCGTTCAGTGATCCAGTTTCCGCTCTGTTTAAACAAATAACATTAACGTAATGTGCCTGATAAGTGTTTGTCATATAAGAGTGAAGAGTAGAATAAAACAAAAAAAAAAAAAAAAAATGCTTTGAATTGCGAAGAAAATTGACAGTAATTGACATTTTAAGTGTTGCAATTTAAATGTGTCCTCAAAGGCTATTTTTAAGAGAATAAAAAAAAGCTTTTGCTGCTTATTTTCGTTTTACTTTAGGGAAAATCTCTTCAAACCACTCTGGGCCAATATTCAACTGCATTCAAGCAAATCGAGTTGTTATGTTTAAATAGTGGATATGTGTTGTAGATATTTTCTATATCTATTATTGAAGTAGTTGCTTTATGTTTAGCTGTCGGAAAAGATTACATATGTTTAGTGAAAAGAGATGTTGTATTTACGTTACCTTACCGATACATCAATATTCGGCGCTCAATAAGTGCGATTAGCTATATAACCAAAAACTGCATATCTCGAGTAAAATATCTTGTTGACTAATGTATACGCCAGTCGAGACAAAAGTTGAGCTCGACTGACTTACTTTAGTTCCATATATGTTATATTATATAGCAGCAATGGTAGAAGTTTATTGCAACAAGTCAAGGATAATTGGAAAGCATATAGAATTTTATTTCTTGTTGAAAATGGTTGATAGACACCTCCTTGTATTCTCCTCCTGGTTATTCTTGTTTTTTAAATTAATCGGATGTTGGCACATGTTCAAATACATAAACGTACATTAAATGCACCTTTTAAACACAAACAGGAAGAGCACCTTTATTAACCTTGATATGAAAAGCACATTTGTAATGCATGCATGCGTTAAAAACATATGGGACGAGGGACGGACGGAATAACGAGGAATAGATTGTTGATATACATTGTAAAAACTTGTCACACACATGCCTGTGTGTAAATGCTAGAAGGGTTATGTGCGTTTTCAGTATTCAGCACAAGTATTAGATGTTTGTAACGCGTAGAAATCTACATAAGACAACAATATAGAAAAGTATATATATTTTTTGGTCAGCGTAAACAACTCTGTCCGTCTATACCGAAATGAACTGAGAATATACCTTCTTACTTTGAATGAAAGCAGAATATATTTTCTTACATTATCGCAAGGAACATCACTCAGGTGATGTCCTCTATACGTGGTGATGGTCAGAGAGGAATGTCAGTAAGTATGTAACCAATCGGTGGTTATTGTAACTTTGCCGATGACATATATTTAACGAGTATATGAATGAGGAGAATTTCATTGGCATGAATAAGTGAATTGGCTTAGCTGACTCTGTTTGCAAGTCCGCCGGTTGATGTCACCATTCTATGCTAGAGCGTTCGCTATCGAAAAAAGCTTAAATGTTTTCTTGTCGCCCCTCGAATTAGGCTGGAAAAATATGCTAATCGAACCGAATTTTTCGGCTTATGGGAAAATTGACAATGTTTTCCTTTTCGAAATCATAGCCTTAAACCTTGAAAACTGAAAGGATTAATACCATCTTGGGTTCATTTAAACTAAAGCCATTTTTTCAAATTTTTGTGCAAACATATTACCATACTTATAGCCGACTCTTTCGTATTCACCACATGGTATGAAACCGTTTGTGAGTAGATGTCGTTCTATGCCCTGTGTGCCATTTTTGGTACACGCTACAACATGC